AATCTGTCTGATTTCTCTTTGGCTATCTCGGCTTCTGCTCCCACTCTTTCCCTCCCTCCCTCCCTCCCTCCCTCCCTCCCTCCCTCCCTCCCCCCCCCCCCCCCTTCCCTCCCTCCCTCTTCCAGCTCAGAGTTTCAGATTCTCCCGGTATGTATGCCTTTTGCGTCTCTCAGGCTGCTTCCTTTTGAAACTCCACCCGTGGCCGTGAGTCTCTGGGCCAAGCTACACAAAAAAACGGTACACAAAAAAACGGTAAGATGGGATTTGGAGCTTGGCTGGCTCCAGGAACCCTTGCTGTTTGTGGGGGAAGTGTCGGTAGCCCAAGTACAAGGTAGCAACGAGCGCATCAGATCTTCCATTGCTAAACCATGATGGGTTTTATTTTGTTTGCTTTGTTTTTTGAGGAAAGGTTCTCCGCCATAGGACTCAGAATGGCTTCCTGCCTCAAAGTGCTAGAATTACAGGCATGGGCCACGGTTTCCAGCGAGGAGAGCACTCTGGTACAGGTTAGAGTTCATTAGCAGGTTTTGAATGTCAGGACTTTGAGAAATATGTGGGGTGGGGGTGAAAACGGTAGCTTGTGTGGCTGTTGCTAAAGACACAGAGGTTTTGGAGAAAGGCAACAAGCTGAACGTAATTAACAGACAATTTAAACCGGTCGGTGGTTTGCACGCCTTAATCCCAGCACTCAAGAGGCAGAGGCAGGCGGATCTCTATGAGTTTGAGGCCAGCCTGGTCTATAAGAGCTAGTTCCAAGACAGGATCCAAACCAAAGCTACACAGAGGAAACACTGTCTCAAAAAAAAAAAAAAAAAAAAAAAAAACAGATAATTTAAAATGACAAAATAATGTGTGAGTTTAGTGGTTTTAAGATCGTTAGCTGCAGCTGGTTGGTGGTGGTGGTGGCACAGGCCTTTAATCCCAGCACTTGGGAGGCAGAGGCAGGCGGATCTCTGTGAGTTCAAGACCAGCCTGGTCTACAAGAGCTAGTTCCAGCTGGAGAGATGGCTCAGTGATTAAGAGCATTGCCTGCTCTTCCAAAGGTCCTGAGTTCAATTCCCAGCAACCACATGGTGACTCACAACCATCTGAAATGAGATCTGATGCCCTCTTCTGGCCTGCAGGCAGACACACAGACAGAATATTGTATACATAATAAATAAATAAAATAGAAAAAAAATTAAAAAAAAAGAGCTAGTTCCAGGACTACCAAAGCTAGTACCAAAGCTACCAAGAAAAGAAACCCTGTCTCAAAAATTGGCTGCTCTGTCAGAGGACCCAGGCACCCATGTGTAACTTACAGACATCTGTAACTCCAGTTCCAGGGGACCCAGCATCCTCTTCTGACCTCCAAGAGCGCCCCGTGCACTTGGAGCACAGACTTTTCACATGCACATAAGATCTTTAACAACTGAGAATCAAGTGTGAGGGCAGAGGCGCCTGCATGGGCCTGAGGACCTGCATTTGATCTCAGGATTTCTCTTGGTCACAGGGGCGAGCCAGTTCCTGGCTTGCCTTCTTTCTGCATGTTTGGATGGCCAACCATGCCCAAGACACATGCAATGCCTAGGCTGATGCAGCCTGAAGCCTCAAACCTTCAGAGTCCTTGAGAGGTTGGAGGCAGTCCCCCTTTCCCTATCAGAGATCACACTCACTTCTTCCAGACACACAGGGACAGACACACTGGCTCGGCATCTGTGAGCACCAGGCTGTCATGGGGTTTAGGACTGGAAAGAAAGAGAGACTGTGTCTTAAGGGAGCTGCAGGCTCTGGCAAGTGTCAGGAGGAGCCGGGAGTGGCTGGCTGGGACTGGCAGAGCCCCACACCACATGACTTTATCCATTGGGGACTGCTATTCCAGGCCGTGCAATATCACACTCTGGTCAGGTCCCTAAAAGATGGTGCAGACATGCTTCCAGATGGTTCCTTGAAGCATGGAAAAGCCACGGGACACACTGGCAAGGCAGAAGCATTAGAATTACTGCCCCTGACGGAAGAGGGGCTGGAGGCTCCGAGGTGGGTGTGTGTCCTAGGGAATCACCATGAAGGTGCATGCAGTCACCACAGCACTAAGGGACATGCTCCTGACAGGTACTGCCAAGGCTAAGAGACTCCTCGACCGCTGTCCTCTGAAGCCAGGGTGACGGTGGGAGCTGCTGCAGTCCAGGAAGTGCCTGCTACTGAGGGTCCAGGGAGCCTGAGCCAGTGCACAATGTATGTAGTCACCTTAATAAGCACAAGAGGCAGGGTTACAGCAATGCTTAGAAGAGCTGGCAACGTTATGGCAAAGTAGGCATGGGCATCAGCAAGTCACAGCGAAGCTGGGGCCAGCGAGGTGCTGCACAAGCTTGGTGGCCTGGTTTTGATCCCAGGAGCCCATGTAAAGTGGGAGGAGGGAACAGGCCCTACAGGGTTGTCCTCTGACCTTCACATGTGTCCGTGGCATGCATACACACCTCTCTCACCCTCACATGTAATTTAAAATGGATGTTGTTGTTTTCAAGACACGCTTGTGTGTGTGTGCATGTGCATAGACCTGGCTATCCTGGAACTCACTCTGTAGACCAGGCTGGCCTTGAACTCAACAGAGATCCACCTGCCTCTGCCTCCCGAGTGCTGAGATTAAAGGTGTGCGGCACTATTGCCTGGCTTAAAAAAGGATTTTAATGGTCCATTTTCAGCGTGAAGTGTCCTTAAGAATTCATCCGAGTCAGAAGCAGGCGCTGGGCCCCTCTCTTTCCAAGCTGGCCGCTGTCACCTGCGAGTCTCAGAACTCTCTGCTGCTGCTGCTGCTGGTCTCTAAAACTGAACTGGGGTCGTTACAAGCTTCGAATTACTAACTAGGTAAGGCTTTGCACTCTAAACCAATAGGATGGGGACTTGGGGAAGAAGTCCAGGCCTATGAGAAGAGAGGATGAGAGAAGTCAGGAGATTTAACTATTTTGTGCCAAGTCAACAGGCAGGCATCCCACACGCCAGTTATTAGATATTGATTTATCCAGAGATTTACCAAAAGCTCTGCTTGTCCTGATTGCCAAGCATGACCTCACTTGCTACCTGGATCAGAACCGACTTGAGAAATAGCTGAACCAATGGTTCGTTGCCCTTAACAACCTGACCAGTCTCCCTTGCTAGCTTGCCCCACTTTAAGGTTTTAGAATATAAACTGGGCTGGACCTGATAAAAAGGCCTATCAGGAGCTACCATGGCTTTGGTCCACTGGTGATGTCTCTCTTTCGCTCTCGTTGATGTCAGTGTGCTGATTCCAGAAAGATCCCAGCAATGGCGTATTAAGAATAGCTTTGCTTTCGTCAGTCTCTGGGGTGTGTGTAGAGTCAGGATCTTATTTTCCCCAGGAGATGATAAATACTGTTTATCCCACCCAGCACCCTGGGGGGCAGCAACGGGTGGCTCTCCGTGAGTTCGAGGTCAGCCAGGTTAACACAGTGAGCTAGACCCTGTATCTAACAATAACAAAGTATGCACTTGGGAAATGGTTGCAGAGGTGTGATTTTGAGGCCAGTCTCGACAAAACAGTAAACCCTGCAGCAGTAGAAATCGGTGGCCCCTCCCATTTGCCCTCAGTCTCCTTTGCTTCAACCAGACCTGGGCACCCCCTCCTGTATGTGGCACGGGCAGCTGGTTTCTCCACTGTGGAGTGGGCTTGGCTGGAGTTATCTGAATACTGAAGGAGGCTACTCCCAGGGGACTGTAAAGGGATGCTAAGGTTGTGCAAAAGGTCGCCCTGCAGTAAGATGGTCCAGGTTAGCTGCTGAGTAACTGGGTAGAGGGTTCTGCCCTAAAGAGCAAATAGGTACTGAGAGTTTGCAAGAATGGGAACACACATGGAAGCGTGTAGAGATGTAAAGGTAGGGGAAGGGTCAGGGCCATCAGACCTGGGACCATCTGATAAAGAGCCACTGGACTTTGTACAAAACAGCCCAGCAGGCATGACTTTATCAATGGGAGGCTTTTGTACTTCAGGTGTTAAAGAATAATGGGACCTTTAAAGAAAGTATTAGGGTCCTTCAGGGGAGTGTGGTGGGCTGGTTTCAGTTGGGGTCCAGGAATGGAGGTATCCCAGACTTTGGGCAAGAACTTATGAGTAGCTGTGTTTGGTGCTGCATGCTTTGACAGTTATGACAATTAGGGCCCTTGAGGCCCTAGACAGCTCCAGGCCATTACAGAACAGACCTGGCAGAAATGTCAAGGGAACCTGGCCTTGAGCTGGCCCTGAGGGAAGATGGGGAGACTTTTCCCGGGGGTCCCTTGGAGCAGGAAGTCTGGCCAGGAGGGGAAGAGCACACAGACCCTACAGAGACACTGGCACTGAAACTCTGAAGGATGGTGGGGAAAGCTGGGATGCGGGAAAAGGAGAGGGGAGGAGGGAACGCAATTACCTCAGGAAATCTGCAGCCGGCTGCGGTCCACGCTAAGACTGAAAGATTTCCAGAAGAAAAGCAGTCCCCAACCTTATAGGACACAGCGGGCCATTCTTATTGTAAACAGGACATAAGGTTATCTACAAAGAAACCCTCAGCTGTGCCCTGGTGAACAATGGTCTACGCTCACAGTCTTAAAGGACTTCCAGTTGTGTGCCAAGGGACTGTGATAAAAAATATCTGTTTTTATATTCTAGGAGACAAGAACTTTTGCTGGACCTTCAGTTAATAACACACCTTGAACCGGGTGGTGATAGAGCCGGCCTTTAATCCCAGCACTCAGGAGGCAGCGGTAAGTGGATCTCGGAGTTTGAGGCCAGCCTGGTCTACAGAGTGAGTTTCAGAGTTTCAGGACAGTCAGGGCTGCACAGAGCCCTGTCTCATAAGAAAGAAAAAAACAAAACTGTTATCCTATAGGGTACCAGCCTGTTTAATCTGCCTTTGAGAACAATGTAACAATTCTACACGCTTTGGATTTCCCATTGACATTCCCTTTTACAGCCTAAACTGATGCCCAGCTGTAAGCCTTAAATTATGTAGTCCATGCCCCCCGCCCACAAGAATACGTATGTGTTTTAGCGATCATTTGCTGAAAGCAGCAACACAGGAGCTGGACAGTCCTCTAAGATGGACATCCACCATAAACGTTACACACATTCAGCGCAGCTTTATAAACACTGTTGTCTGGGCGAGCTGGAAAACGGTTAACAGTGTCTGTGAAGTTCCCCTCCCTCGTTCCCCATGCAATGCTTTCTGTGATGGTCACAAATACAGAGAAAAGCATAAGGGACACGCACACACGAACACAGACACAGCTACAAGGACAGAGTCACAAGACCGCCTACAGGGCAGGCACAGATTCAGACTCATGTCACAGGGAGGACAGAGGACACAGTGACGCAGAGAATGCAAACGTGGACTTGCTGTTGGCTAAATGACATTAAGAAGTTCTTAGATTGTCTCCCCCCTTAATGGGACAGCCACACCATTATTGGTGACTCTTAGCTGGTTACCCAAGCATCAGAATGGAGAGCCAAGGCAGGCGAGGAGAGCCTTCCGTCTGACCAAAATGTGTCCAGATGGACAGGTCAAAGGGGCGGGTCATGAAGGAAATATGCTGGACTAGGGGTGTGGCTTAGAGGTGCAAGCCATGAAAGCATGAAAACGGAGTTTGATCGCCAGCACCCACATCAAAAGCGTGGCACCTTCCTTTAATCCCAGTGTGGGGAGGGAGAGGCACACACAAACACGGCTGGAAGGTCGCTAGATCTTTATTTGGAAAAAGCAAAAACTGGCAGATTCTCATATGATCTGGAAGTTTGCTCCTACACACTTTTCAATGAAGAGTCATTCAGTCATACCATTTTTTTTTTTTTACTGTAATTTATTTACTTTTTCTCTCGAGACACGGTTTCTCTGTGTAACAGTCCTGGTTATCCCAGAACTCCTTGGAGACCAGGCTGGCCTCAAACTCACAGAGAGCCACCTGTCTCTGACTCCCGAGTGCTGGGACTAAAGGAGTGTGCCACCAGGCCTGGTTTATTCACTCATTTTTATTTTTTTTAGGATTTATTATGTATACAGTGTTCTAGCATGTCTGCCTTCACGCTAGAAGAGGGCACCAAATCTTATACTAGATAGCTGTGAGCCACCATGTGGTTGCTGGGAATTAAACTCAGGACCTCTGAAAGAGCAGCCAGTGCTCTTAACCTGAGTCATCTCTCCAGTCCCTCACTCATTTTTAAATGATTTTTTTAAAACCCAAAATTAATATAACTTGGTCAAATCTTAAGTACAAAATCTTAAGTACTGGCATCTTTTTTTTTTTTCTCTTAATTTTCAGATTGCCAGAAATAAATTTCCTGGTATGAAGAGATTCTGTGTGTATTTCTTTTCTTTTTTGGCTTTTCGAGACAGGGTTTCTCTGTAGCTCTGGAGCCTGTCCTGAAACTCGCTCTGTAGACCAGGCTGGCCTTGAACTCGGAGAGAGGCCTTCTCTGTCTCTCAAGTGCTGGGGCGTGTGCCACCACCACACAGCATGTATTTCTTTTCTTAATTTTAAAAGACGGAATCAACTATCTTCAAAAAAAAAAAAAAAAAAAAAACCCAAGGGCTGGAGAGATGGCTTAGCAGTTAAGAGCACTGGCTGCTCTTTCAGAAGACCCAGGTTTCAATTCCCAGTACCCATAGTACTCCAGGGGATTCAATACCTTCTCCAGGCCTCCACAGGCACTGCATGCACACAGTGCACAGACAATACATACAGGTAAAATCACCCATACAGGCCAAGTTATTAAACACAAAAATCCAGTTGTGATTTCCATTTATAATTCTAATGCACAGTGAGAAAGCTGAGCGTGTGGTTTGGAATCAAACTTATAAAACGTTTGTTTGCAGACAGGGTCTCTCACTGTGTAGACCAGACTGGTCTCCAGCTCAGACCACCTGCTTCTGCCTCCCATGGGATTAAAGGCATGGAGCATCGCACCTGGAAAAACCCCTAACTTTGTAAATGCCAACATTTGTAAATGTCGAACATTTTGGTGGTTTGAATGAGAACGGCCTCTGTAGGTTCACAGGTTTGAATACTGGTCTCAGTTGGTGGAACTATTTGGTAATGCTGAGGTGTGTCCCTGGAGGTGGGCTCCTGGTTAGCTTGCTCCTGTACTTGTGTCCCAAGAGGTGAGCTCTAAGCTATGCTCCATCATGCCTGCCTGCTCCCACACCCCGTCCTCTCCCAGTGGCCATGGGACTCTAACCATGAAACTGTGAGCCTCAAATACCTTCTTTTACAGCTGCCGTGGTCACGGTGTTTTGTCATTGCAATAGAAAATACTCTTATAAAGTGCTTGAACACCAAAAGGCAGGGTACACAGTATTTTGGAGCCAGACATGCACTTGTATGTAAACATCTCAGGGAGAAAGAACAAGAGCATGGCAGAGGAGGAAATGCCTGCCCAGCACAATTCTGTACCGGGTGCCAAGTCAGAGTCCACAGCTGCCTCTTCCACTCTCTGGATCAATTATGTCACACCTTTGCTTATTTCTATAAATAATGCTCTGGAACATCTTCAAACCCAGAACCAGGTTAAAACCAACAGCTCATTAACAAGGGCCACACCAACGTGTATGAGCTGGCTACATGAAGGTCCATCCCATGGTTTTTGGATGCACACTGGGCTGGAAAGGTTCTGTGGTGCATATGTGATGTTGAGTATGGAAAACCTTGTTTACTGTGATGCAATTTCATAGATGAGAATTTCAAATTCCAGCAGCTGTGTTAAACTTAACAGATTTAAAACAATTTATTTCTCCTCCTAGAATATTCAATTTAAAATTTTAAAAAGATCACTGTAGACTGGGGATGTAGATCAGTGGTTAAAAAAAACCTGCCTAGCACAGACAAGACCCTAGGTCTGAGTCCCAACAGCACAAAAATCAATAAAGCTCCTAGAAATAGAGCTGGGTGTATCTATTCAGAATTGGATCTGGAGATACATGTATGAAATACATATGGATACTAATTTTCAATATATTCTTATGGTATCCTTTCCTCTTAAGTTTTTTTTTGAGTTAGTTTGCATCTCAATACAATCCCCCAAGTTCCTTCAGTATTCTTCATCAAGGTTTCTCCCTCGATGGAAGAATTCTGCTTTGATGGCTGTCCATGGTATAATCTGACTGGAGCCGCAGGACCTAGCCTGTGTGGACCCTCTGATGGACGCTGAGCCGAGACTTTCTGCTGAAGGCCTTCCCACATTCAGTACATTCGTAGGGTTTTTCTCCCGTGTGGATTCTCAAATGCAGTCTGAGCGTTGACCTCTGGCTAAAGGTTTTGCCGCATTCAGTACACTCGTAGGGCTTCTCCCCAGTGTGAGTTCTCATGTGGATGATGAGCTGGGAGTTCTGGATAAACGACTTTCCACACTCGCTGCACTCATAGCGTTTCTCCCCCGTGTGAATTTTCTGATGTATGATGAGGTTTGACTTCTTAAAGAAGGTTTTTGCACACTCGTTGCACTCATAGGGTCGCTCTCCTGTGTGAATTCTCTGGTGTGTGGTGAGTTCAAACTTCTGAGCAAATGTCTTTCCACACTCGCTACACTCATACGGCTTCTTCTCCATATGCGCTCTCTGGTGAACAATAAGGTTTGACTGGTGGGTAAACGCTTTTCCGCACTCAGGACACTCAAACGGTTTCTCTCCGGTATGAATTCTCTGGTGTTTGATGAGGTTTGCCTTATGGGAGAAGGTTTTCTTGCACACGTTACACTCGTAGGGTTTTTCTCCCGTGTGTATCCTCTTGTGGCTAATGAGGAGCGACTTGAAGGAGAAGGCTTTGTCGCAGTAGTTGCAGACAAAAGGCTGAACCAGACTCTTCATTTTCTGATGTTTGAAGACGACTTCTTTATGGCTGAGAGCCTTCCCGTGCCCGCTGTATCCTGAGTACTCTACTCCAGCACGGGGCCTTTCTTGCTTCAGGTACAGAAGTGGCTTCCCAAACCCACTGCGCTCCTCGCCCTTCCTCCTCACACAGCTTCCACTGCTGAGTAAGTCGGAATTGCATTTCAAAGTCTTTTCGTGTAAGTCGTACTTATAGGGAACTTGTGTTAACGAAACAAAGTCCGTGTTCAGAGTTAATGTCTTTCCAAAAAGACCTCCTCTTTCTTCAATTGGTTGTTGGTTCTTGAGGGTTATACGTGGTTTCATCTGTTCATCTGGGTCCCTGGGGTCCTTCTCCACCTGGTCATCGGCCCTCCACACTTCTAGGACAAAACACAGTGAAAGGAATTTTGTTTTTCAAGACAGAGTTTCTCTGTAGAGCTTGGAGCCTGTCCTGGAGCCTAGCTCTTATAAACCAGGCTGGCCTCGAACTCAGAGATCCGCCTACCTCTGCCTCCCAAATGCTGGGATTAAAGGTATGTGCCACCACCGCCCGGCTAAAAGGGACTTTCTTAAGCCTTCTCTGTTAGAGTGTGAAGTACCCACAAGGGATCCCATCATAGAGCTAACTCTGGGTTCAGACTCAGTCTTTCAGCATTAAAAAAAATCCAACACAAACATTTTTCATCTCTTAAGCTTGGAAAGGAAAATAAATATATATTGGAGGGGTGGTATTTCCTGATGACAAAATGACCTTTGAGTAGAAAAAGCCGGGCAGTGGTGTCACCATCTCTGATCCCATCTCTGTGAGTCTGAGGCCAGCCTGGTCTACAAAGTGAGTTCCAGGACAGCCAGGGCTATGGATAGAAACTTGAAACAAAAAGGTGGGCAGAAAAAAATAAAAACAGAGGTCAAAGCTGGATATTGTGGCTCTCATCCATAATCCTAACACCCAGGATGCTGGGTTGAGAAGACCAGCCTGAGTCCAAGGCAAGTCTGGGCTATACAGAAAGTCTGTCTCAACAGCATTCCTCCTCTCCATGACACAAACAAAAACAAAAGTTGGCATAAAAGGCCATGGTAAAGATAGTGCTTTGTGATAAGGATTTCATAGCACCCTCGAGGACAATGGACAGTCAGCCTGGAGACCAAGAAAATACGCAGATGGGCAGTGACGTCATGGGGAGCAGAGTCAGTGACTGGCGCTTCAGCTCCAGCAGACAGTGGCACCAGCATTGGTCTCTGCTCGCCCCTGCTGGTTTTCACCCTTCGAGACTGGGCTCCGTTACGTAGGTCAGGCTTGCCTAGGATTTGCAGCACTCTTTATTACAGGTAGGGCAGCAACAACTGGCTCCAAAATAACATTTTCCCAGTATGTGTGGGTATTTTGCTTGTATGTATGGCTGTGCACCATGTGTGTGCTGAGTACCCATGGAGGCTAGGAAGGTGTCAGATTCCCTGGAACTGAAGTTACAGATGGTAATCAAACCCAGATGTGGCTAATATTCCACTCCATTCCAAGGATGGAACAGGGTAGCTACCACCCAGCATTTCTGTGGGCTCTGGGATTCACTTGTATAATCTCCCCAACCCTAAAAATATTTTTAATAAGTTATTTTTTTTGGGGGGGGAGTTTGAGACAGGGTTTCTCTGTGTAACAGTTCTAGTTGTCCTGGCACTAGCTCTTGTAGACCAGGCTGGTCTCAAACTCACAGAGATCCGCCTGCCTCTGCCTCCTGAGTGCTGGGATTAAAGGCGTGCGCCACCACAGCTGGGCCTTAAAAACATTTTTTTAAAGATTATGTATGCAACAATTCTGTCTCCATGTATGCCCACACACCAGAGGAGGGAGCCAGATCTCATTACAGATAGTTGTGGCTGGGCGGTGGTGGTGCACGACTTTAATCCCAGCACTCGGGAGGCAGAGGCAGGCGGATCTCTGTGAGTTTGAGACCAGCCTGGTCTACAAGAGCTAGTGCCAGGACAGGCTCCAAAGCCACAGAGAAACCCTGTCTCGAAAAACTAAAAAAAAAAAAAAAAAAAAAAAAAAAACAAATGATTGTGAGCTACCATGTAGTTGCTGGGAATTGAACTCAGGACCTCTGGAAGAGCAGCCAGTGCTCTTAACCACTGAGCCATCTCTCCAGCTCCTAAAAATTTTTTTTAATCAGACTAGATAAAGGTTCAGAGGTTAAGAACACTGACTATTGTTTCAGAAGACCTGTGTTCAAATCCCAGCACCCACATGGTGGCTTACAACTATCTCTGACTCTAGTCCCAGGAGATTCCATGGCTCTCTTCTATCTAGCCTCTGAGGGCACCAGGCACACGCATGGTACGCAGACAAAAATAGCCATACATAAAATTTTTATTTTTATGTATACGGATGTTTTACTTGCATGCTATGTTTGCAGTGCCCACAGAGGTCAGAAGAGATCTCACACTACAGAAGGCCCTCAGCCTCCACATAAATGCTAGGAATAAACACATACTGGGTGGAGGACAGCTAGCACTCCCCGTCACTAAAGTACCTCTGAAGCCCACCACCACCCTTTTTTTGAAGACAGCATTTCATTATGTAGCCCTGGCTAGTCTGGAACTCTCTATGTAAACCAGGCTGGCCTTGAACTCAGATATTTACCTGCCTCTGCCTCCCTAGTGTCGGGATTAAAAGTGTGCCACACTATACCCAATTTCTACTTTTATTTTTGTGTGGTACGTGTGAGCGCACACACATGCATTACCACGGCACGTGAGTGGAGGTCAAAGGACAACCACCCCCGAATGGTTCCCTCCCTTCACCAATATGGTCTCTAGGAATCAAACTCAGGACATCAGGCTTGGCAGGGAAGCAAGCACCTTCGCCTCCTGAGCCGTCTCACTGGTCCTAGAAGAATCTCTTTAAATGTCTGTATGTGGGGTCTGCGTACAGGTGTGTACAGGTGCCATTAGAGCCAGAGCTTCAGATCCCCCGGAGCTGGTGTTTCAGGTTCTTATGAGCATGGGCGATGGGAACCAAACTCGAGTCCTCTGCAAGAGCATACTGTATATACCGCTGACCACTAAGTCAACTCTCCAGCCCCACAAGGTGACTCTAAAGTGAGCATTTCTTACAGCCTGCACATATAATCACTCTGCAAGTTTCTGAGGACACCTCTCAAGTAGACAGCAAGATCCTGGGGTTAACTGGGCATGGTGGGGCACACCTTTAATCCCAGCACTTGGAAGGCAGAGGTAGGCAATCTCTGTGAATTTGAGACCATTGGTCTACAAATTGAGTTCCAGGACAGCTAGTGCTGTTACACAGGGAAACCCCTTCTTGAATAAAACAAAAAACTCTATCTCAGGCCACACACCTTTGCCCAGTACTGGGGTGGGAGGGGCTAGAGGTAGGTAATCTCTGAGTTCAAGACCAGCCAAGGTCATATAAGTGAGAACCTGTCTTAAAAAAATCTCAAAGGTGCTCAAACTGTTCAAAAGCTGGGACATCATTTCTCCTAGCTTTTTATTTTCCTACTCAGAGCTCCCCTGGTGCAGTCTGAACTGACCATCCTAACTACAGCTCCCCTGGTTGATGGTGAAGGGTCATCTGTCTATTTGTTGATTTCATTGGTTAATAAACTGCCTTGCCCATTTGATAGGCCAGCCCATAGGTGGGTGGAGTAGACAGAACAGAATGCTGGGAAGAAGGGAAGTGAGCCAGATGCCATGCCTCTCTCTGGGTCAGACGCGGTGAAGCCAGCAGCCAGGTCAGGCATGCTGAATCTTTCCCGGTAAGACACCACCTTGTGGTGCTACACAGATTATTAGAAATGGGTTAAGCAAGATATGAGAGTTAGCCAAGAAGAGGCTAGATATAATGGGCCAGGCAGTGTGTTTATATGAATACAGTTTGTTGTTATTTCAGGCATTAAGCTAACCATGCGGGAGCCAGGCAGGATGAAAAGTAGGCCTGCCTGCAGCTCCATCTACACCTGGTAAAGTCTGAACTGACCATCCTAACTCCAGCCCCCAGGTTACAGGTTTGTTTCCCAGACCGTCCTTACCCACTGAGAGTAAGTTGCTGTAGTTCTCCAGCATTACATCCATGTACAGAATCCTCTGAGAGGGGTCCAGCTGCTCCCACTCCTCCTGGGTGAAGTCCACAGTTACATCAGTGAATGAAACCGATCCCTGAAATGACACGTGATTCGCTTTGGGAGACAGAGAAAGGATCTATGAAAACTAACTCCTGCCACATTGTAAGAGTTCGCCACAAACTGTGCTACTGGCCAGTGCTGTGTCCAAAACCTTTGTTCAGGACAGGTGTTGTGGTGCACCTGCAGCCTCAGCATTTGGGGGTAGAGGCAGGCAGATCTTAGTTTTAAGCTAGCCAGGGCTACATGGTGAGAAACAGTCTCAAAAATAAAAGCTAGAAAGAGGCAAATCCACATTGGTGCAGAGGTCTACATCAAATAATGAGGGAAATAAAGACCTTTCAAAAATACAAGTTTTGAAAAGTGTATTTCTCACCCTTTCTCAAGACACGGTTAAGAAATGCACTGCAGGCAGGGGTACATCTTAATCCCAGCATCAGGAGCTAGAGCAGAGGCAGGCTGATCTGAGTTTAGGGCCATCCTGGACAGCCAGGACCTGACACAGCATCTCCTAATGCTGAGACCCCTTTAATACAGTTCCTCAGGTTGTGGTGACCCTGATCATAAAATTATTTCATTGCTACATCATAACTAATTTGCTACCACTATGAAATCATAATGTAAATATCCAATACGCACCACTATGAAATCATAAGTGAATATCCAATATGCACCACTAGGAAATCATAATGTAAATATCCAATATGCACCACTAGGAAATCGTAATGTAATATCCAATATGCTACCCACAAAGGGTCCCAACCCACATGTTGAGAACCACTGCCATAGAGAGACCCTGTCTCAGAAAAAAAAGCACCAATAAAACAGTAATTTAAAAGGTCATAGAAAGGGACAAATCAAAGCGAGAGCCGAGGGCAATGTCTGGGAAGAGTTTGCAGAACAGCAGTAATTCTCTAATGACAGCAGACAGTTTCTAGTGCAGGCCGGAACTCAGAAGCAGACATTTTGAGGGCTAGCATCAAGATACCTGTGCCACTGTTCCAGACTTTAAAGTGAGGGCAGACTGCCTACATGCAGAGTCTTCCATGCACTTGCTCTGATTTGTCTTGAACATGTACTAAGGACATCTCTCCCCCTCCTGCACCGTGCTGCCTTGGATCAGGTGAGGGTACTCCATTCATCTTACAAATCTGTCTGCTTTTAAAACTAATTCTTGAGAGCCGGCAGTCAAGTGGTAAACAAAGCGGAAAAATACTGAGCATTCTGCCAGATGCACCAGCAGTGTTTAAGGCCTGTGTTATGTTTCTCATGACCTTGCCATTGCCAATGGCTTCCCCAAATGGGGCTGCTGTGAACTTTTAGGAAAGCTACAGCTAGACTAAGACAAGGGTCTCCTAGTAAACTTTCTAGACACGGCTTAGCTAAGCACTGCTAGTGAGTGCCATGCGCTGCTCACAGGAACACTGCCCTTTATACTGCCACCAGCAATGCTGGAGTTGGCTCTTCTTGCTTGATGTTAGCTAATGTAATCTGAACACAAAAGAGCTAGAGATGGTTTCTTGGGTAAAGGTACTTAACTCAAGCCTGAAGATCTGAGTTCTCCACCAGAAGGTGGAGAAACTGACCTTGTACAGTCTGCCATAACCCATCAACCCCCACCCTATGCACACAAAAATGTAATTAAATTTAAAAATCTACCTGCTAGAAGGGTTCAGCTGAGATGGCATCACGGGAGCAGACGGTGCATTTCTTAGCCCAGGTGTGCACACTCACACCACACGTCCTCTTTCCTGGGCTGGGGACACCTGGGAGCATGTCGTCGTCTAAACCAGGGTTCTTGCTATGAACTGAGGAGTCTTGCAGTAATTAGACAGCCCGCTCTCATTTCACGAGTGATTCATCAGAGCTAGGGGCTTTGGGTGAAGGTTTTAAAACACAATGCAGGGCTTTTGAGATTACTGCTTTGTAAATAAAGTGGCTGTTTTCTGCTATAGATTTTTCACTGTAGCTGACTCCCTTTCTGTTACAAATTTGGGATTTATCTCCCACAGTTCAGCACTATTTGAGCTATGTGTGAAGACAGTCACAGTCAAGGAACCTGCTCTGCACTGCCAGGTCTTTGCTCCTCTCTCTGTAAACACAGATCTGCCTTCCTGCAATTATCTTTATTGACAGGCACTGGGTCAGCGTTTAAGGTTTAGGCAAAAGCATTCCATTCAAGGCATTCCCAGATATCCAAGGACACAGAATTACTACTTGCTCACAGCTGTTAATTCATAGCTGCTCACATAGAAGAAATAAGCGTGACTTGGTTTTACCTCACTTATAGATAAGAAAAGCAACGACCTAAAACTAACCTTGCATTAAAAGATTCCCAACTCCTCATCTCACCTTCACCTCTGCTTACTGATGACTTTAGGAGATTTACTGCTTGTGTCTTACTCGCAGGAAAAATAAACCTCTACCCACAGCCCAGAGGCAGACAAGCCTTCACTGGTGCCTCAGGCTTAAGAGCTAACACTGAAGTTTGCTAACATTTGACAAAAATGCTAAAGCACCAAGGGCCACAAACTTCCCTTGTCTGTTTATGTGAGCTGCCTGGCTACCTCTGCCTGCAAGGTTTTGTGGGTCTTTACAGCTGGGTAAGAATGAAGAGAGGTGACAGAAGTGGGAACGTAAGTTAGAGCAAAAGCGTCCCAGAAATTAGCAGAGATAGGGAGGGAAATGAAGAAAAATAGAGCAGAGAATTGAAATTGAAATTAGGATTGAGACAGACTTAGAGCTAAGAAATTACAGTCAGGAGAACAGAATAGAGTACAAAGGAGAGAGAATAATGAGACCGGGATAGAAAGAACGTGTTGTAAGAAGATTTCTTAACCCTCAGATTTTAGTTCCTTTCACTTATTGTGGAGGTTTTTTTTTTTTTTTTTTTTGGAACCCTGAGAGGGATCCTTAGAAGCTGAGCTTTTAAGGTTCCCGTTAGGTTCTCAACCTGTGAGTAATGATCCCTTTGGAGTCCAAGGGCCCTTTTACAGGGTTGTTAACCAAGACTATCAGAAAACAGATTTACATTACAATTCTTAACAGTAGCAAAATTACAGCTAAGAAGTGGCAATGAAGATTTATGGTTGGAATCATCACAACATTAGGAACTGTGCTGAAGGGTCAGATTATTAGGAGACTGAGAACCACTACTCTAAATACATAGGGAGTCTGAGGGTTGACCCTTCTCAAAACAGAAGGGACCCCTTACCCCAGAATGGCAAGGATTGATGGGGTTGTTTCACTGAATCTGGAGCTAGGCTTCCAGAAAGCCCCAGCAATCCTTTCTCTGACCCTCATAGTGCTAGAGACACTGGTGTGGGGCAGAGCCCACTGCGATCCAAATTCAGGTCCTCCTGCTTGTGCAAGGGCTCTCATCCACTGAGCCATCTTTCTGTCCCAAAGCTAACTCCTTATCCTTTCTACTTCATTTTCCATAGACATAACGCTCCAAAAGCGAAACGAAACACCAAGTGAGCAATAAGCCGCGGACTCACCTGGGACCCCATCATTTTCTGCGGTTGGCAAAGGCACTGAAGCACAAAGGCACAACTGGAAGAAAAAGAAGCGTGTTATTAAGGATCTGACCTGCCTGGTAACCAGAATGTTGTTTAGAAAGCATATACACCCCAGGGAAAGTAGCACCCCTCTTCAGAAAAAGCATGCTGGCAATGTCGTTCAGCTAAACACAACGAGAGAATCCCACCATCAAGAGACAAAAAAGCCCCAATCCCTGAGGCCTTAGATAAGGAATTTAAAGCAACTACGATCGCTGTCTGCGCTCTATGCGCTACCACACCTTCCAAGAGCTTCGGGCAAGGGGCTGGAGGTTGAAACACAGAGAGACACGGCCCTCGGCCCTCTAGTCACTGGTAAGAAGCCCCTTATTCAAGAGCACCACGGAGGCTTGTATACCCAACAGTCACGTGGGCCAACAGGTGAAAACCTCATCCTCTGATCCTCAAGGCCAAGGCAACACGTGCTTATGAAGCAGAGCTGGTAAACAACTTTGACACAGCTTTCAGTAACTCAAATCAGAAGGAAAGTAAAGGTCACTAGCAGGGAAGAGCAGCTGGAGGCCAGGACGCCTAATGGTCCCAACAGTGAGGCCTACACCACAGACTTTAATGTGAAAGGCAAACATGAATGAACAAATAGGGAACCTCAGCAAAGATGGAAATTAGAAGAAAAAAAAAAAAACTCCAAGTGGTATGGCACATGCCTTTAATTGCAGCACTCTGGAGGCAGGCAGTGTGTGAGCCCCAGAACAGCCAAGAATACACAGAGAAACTGTCAAAAACAAGACAAAGTGAAAAGGAAAATACTTAAGGACTTAAGAATACAGCTCAGTGGCTGTTAGGGTTTGCTACGAGGTGAACCCCCGGCTGCCGGGTTCAATCACTGACATTAATCCTTCATCTGTGGACTAATCCCCAATGGTCTCTCACGGTGGCAACAGTAGAAACAGAAGGTGGGGCATGCCCTGGGAGATAAACCTGTCTCCAGTCCCTTCCTGTCTTCCTAGTTGCCAGGAAGTAAGCAGAGGTGAGTAACCTCTGCCATTATGTTCAATGTCACCATAGATTTAAAGAGATGGAATCAAGGGACCGTTGACTGAAACCGGGAACCACAATAAACCCTTCGTCCTTTGAGCTGCTTCTCTCAGGCATCTGCCATGTAACAAAACACTAACTGGAACAAAGGTAGAAATTCTTAGCATGCATGAGGCCTTGGAAGGATCCTTAAAACAGTCCCTTGCAAAGGAATTAAATAGCAAAGAAAACAGCATTTAAACATCTGAGAAAGAGTAGCTTCAGTTACTAACTGATTGTTTTATTTTTTGAGATAAGGCCTCATCATCTGGCCCGGGCTAACCTCAAATTCATGATCCTCCTGCCCCAGGCTCCCAAGTGCTGGGGTGGCAAGAATGAGATACAATACCTGATGTGCATTAAAATGTCTTAATGGCCTTAGGTCACTCCTAGCCCTCTTCCCACCCAAACCGAGAGTGCACTAACCCAAAGCCAGCATAAGGATGGGAACGAGAAATGTAAGAGCAGAAATCGTAAATCTCTAACAAGGGAGAACGCAAGGAAACCAGAGCCGGTATGTGGAAAGATCAGGAACACCAATAAAACTAACCAAACTGGCTGGGGGGGTGGGGGTGGAGTGGGGACACACACAAACAGCTTGGGTGTGGAGGGATGGTAACATTTGATAGGCTGAGGCAGGACCACAAGTTCCAGGCCAGCTTGGCTATATAGCGAGACCTTGCCCAACCACACAAAAAAATCCAAAAGTAACAAAGAACACAAATTACCAATATCTAGAATGACCCAGAGCACATTATTATAGTTGCTGCATATATTAATCTTTTTTCCTTTGGGGGCTAGAGATATGGCAAAGAATGCTCACTGCTCTTCCCTAGGCACAGGGTTCCATTCCTACCCCCCACCTGACAGATCACAACTGCCTATAAGCCCAGTTCTAGGGGAACTGCACACCCTCTTCCAGGTCCCTCAGGCACCAGGCACACACGTGATGCACAGACATACACACAGGCAAAACATCTATCACATAAACTTTTAAAAATTTAATTCGTAAAGAAATAGAGGGGTGGAGAGACACTCAGAGGTTAAGAGCACTTCCTGTTCTTCCAGAAGACCAGAGTTCAGTTTCCATCACCCATGCCAGACATTCACAACCACCAGGAATACCAACTCCAAGGGATCTGATGCTCTCTTTGGGCCTCTGCAGGCATCAACACACACGGAGAATACATACAAGACAAATATACACAAATAAAAACAAAAATTAATATTTAAAAAAAGAGGTAGACTGCCCAAGCTATAGGCCATGCCTGCCAGAAGATCAGGAGGCCGCCTGATCATGGATCTCTTCCTTCTCTTGGTTCCCTTGGGCACACAGCCCCTGTCTACCCACAGACTACACCTGCCAGAAGACCAGGTAGGCCATCCTCCCTATCCCCCTCACCTCCCCGACACCGTATCCGAGCCCTCAACTCAGATGGACACTCCCTGCTGGATCAGAAGCCACGAAGGCTTCCAGAACTCCTACCCCCAACTCAGGCAGAGACCCTTTGCGCAACAAGAGACTACACCAGCCACCAGCAGTTTAGCCCTCAACTCAGGTGGAAACCCCCTGCTCAACCACAGGCCACACAAGCCAAGAAGACCAGAGAGAAAACAGAAACCAAGGAACAAACCATATCCAACAAAGACAAACCCGGAATTCAGCACTGAGACCTAGCTAGAATTACCACCAATCAGATGCCCAGATGCCAGCATAAGAGCACAAGAGCCAAGGCAATATGGCGCCACCAGAGCCCACTTTCTACTACAGCAAGTCCTGAATATCCCAACACAGCCAAAGCACAAGAAAAGGGGTCCTTAAAGAAGTGAGTGAATCTCTTAATGAAATCGAGAAAAAGACAAACAAAAAACTGGAGGAAATGAAAGCCAGGGAAAACAAACAGTTGAAGGAAACAAATGAAAGTAGCCAGGCGGTGGTGGTCATGCCTTTAATCCCAGCACTTGGGAGGCAGAGGCAGGAGATGGATATCTGTGCGTTTGAGGTCAGCCTGGTCTACAAAGTGAGTTCCAGGACAGCCAGGGTGGTTTACAGAGAAGCTGTCTCAAAAAAACAAAAAAGTGTTCAAGATATGAAAATGGACAAAGAACCAATAAAGAAAATATAAACGGAAGGAATCCCAGAAATGGAAAATCTGGGTAAGTGAACAGGAACTACAGATGCAAGCATCACCAACAGAATACAAGAGATGGACCTAATGGGTATCTATAGAACATTCTACCCAAACACAAAAGAATACACCTTCTTCTCAGCACCTCATGAACTTCCTCCCAAGCTGACCACATACTTTGTTACAAAGCAAACCTCAACAGATACAAGAAAACAGACATAACCCCTTACATCCTATCAGACCACCATGGATTAAAGCTCTGTTTCAACGATGACAGAAAGGAGGGAAAGCCTACAAATTTATGGAAAACTGAACTCTACCTAGTGACTACTGGGTCACGGCAGAAATAAAAAAATGAAAGATTTCTTAGAGTACAATGAAAATTATTACATAGTATACCCAAACCTATAGGCATCATCCCACAGATACAGGGATTGTTCAAGATAAGAAAATACATCAATGTAATCCACCATATAAACAAATTAAAAGAAAAAAAACCACATGATCATCTCATTAGATGCTGAAAAAAATCTTTGACAAAAATCCAACATCCCTTCATGATAAAAGCCTTGGAGAGAGCAGGGATACAAGGGACATACCTAAACATAATAAAGGCAATATACAGCAAGCCAACAGCCAACATCAAACTAAATGGAAACTCAAAGCAATTCCACTTAAATCAGAAACAAGACAAGACTCTCCATATCTACTCAAATAGTATTTGAAGTTCTAGCTGGAACAATAAGAAGGAGATGAAGGGAATACAAATCAGAAAGGAAGCCAAAGTATCATTTATTTGCAGATGATGTGATAATATACATAAGTGACCCCAAAATTCTACCAGGGAACTCCTTCAGCTGATAAACATCTTGAGTGATTTGGCTGGATAAAAGATTAACAATGACAAATAGACTGAGAAATCAGGAAAACAACACCCTTCACAAATGCCACAAACAATATAAAATACTGGTAATTCTAATCAAGCAAGTAAAAATGGTCATTTTTCCAAAAGCAATCTACAGATTCAATGCAATTCCCATCAGAACTCTAACACAATTCTTTATAGACTTTGAAAGGACAATACTCAACTTCATATGGAAAAGCAAAAAACCCGGGGTAGCTAAAACAATCTTGAACAATAAAGGAACTTCTGGAGGTTATCAGCATCCTTGACTTCAAGCTCTACTACAGAGTAATAGAAAAACCACATTGTATTGACATAAAAACAGGTCAGTGGAATTGGATCAAAGACCCAGACATAAATCCACACATATATGGACACCTGACTTCTGATAAAGAAACCAGAAATACACAATAGAAAAAGAAAACATCTCAACAAATGCTGCTGATCTAACTGGATGTCAGCTTGTACAAGAATGCAAATAAATCCATATCTATTACCCTGCATAAAACTCAAGTCCAAGTGGATCAAAGACTTCAACATAAAACTAGACACACTGAACCCGATTATTAATAGAGAAAGTAGGGAGTAGCCTTGAATACATCGGCATACGAGACAACTTCCTACACAAAATACCAGTAGTATAGGCACCAAGACTGACAATAAATGGGACCTCATGAGACAGAAAAGCTTCTGTAAGTCAAAGGGTACTGTCAATAGGACAAAATAGCAGCCTACAAAATGGGAAAAGATTTTTACCAACTCCACATCCAACAGAGGACTAATATCCAAAATATATATATAAAAAAAAACTCAAGAAACCAGATATCAACAAACCAAACAATCCAATTAAAAGATGTGGTACAGATCCAAACAGAATTCTCAGTAGCGGAATCTCAAATGGCTGAGAAACACTTAAAGAAATGTTTA